AACAGTCTCCACCCCGAGCCTGCAGAGGAATTCATACCTGTTACTCCAGCTGATCTTTATTTTTTTCAACTTGTCAACCTGTCAGTTATATTTATATCACGTCCTGTACAGACAAAACCTGTTCATACAAAACTGTACAGACAAAAACTCAATCAACGTGAGCATTAAATGAATTGCCGCCGGTGTAGATTTAGTGTTCAGACAATTACATTTGATAGTTTACACGAGTACATTGCCTATACCCTGGAGAGAGTTCAAACATTAATGTCAATAGTTAGTCTTTATGTTTCTTTGTCATTGTGCACAATAGGCAAATTATTTAAAGCAACAGGAAGCCATGCCAAATGTTGTTTTAGACATTTTAATGTCTTGTTGAGACATAAGTGTTTCTTTGATGTGCTTCTGCAACAAATCAATAACAACTGAGGAGCTCAGTAGTCATACACTGTACTCTATGTCTGTGGTTGTTGGTCCTGTTCCAAACACAGTCAAAATAATGTTCCCAAAAGAGCCATATAAAGTTATTATTTTCAAAGACCACTATTATTACTGTATCGTTTGAGTTCTGATATAAGTCTAATAAAGACAAAAGACTCAATTTCAGTGCAGTGTTGCAACATTTGCCTGCAGGCAGTTGGATGGTAAAGCGAGAAAACATCCACTTCATTTTATTTCCTCATTGATGTGTGGACGTGTGTATTTTAGATTCGAACTGAAGTGCCTACACATACTGTTTAGATGACATTAAACAATGGGAAAACTGGAACCGACACTGCATGCTGTTAACTCCAGATTAGGTTTAGGAATGTACGCTGTCAATCACAGTAACGCAGCCAAGTTTCTTTCAATATTCTCGCTTGACTCACTGTAGCCTCGCCCCATACCTCAAACTGAGATATCTAGAAAGTCTATTGTACTTTGTTTTAGAGTATACATGTTAGGTTTTCCATATCTTTACTTGGCACACTGAAAAATATGTTATGGACAGGTGTACATTTGGAAAGGCTGCAACAGAAAACATAAAGGGGGGCCTTTGACAGGTTCAGTTAAACATAATTTGTGCCTGCTCGAACAAGAACAGTTCATTCATTCAGCAGCAGAAAGCAGAAGGCTGCATCGTCTGTAGAGTAGTAGACAACTGTTATTGAATAAATACATACATGTTGAAATGTTTTCAATGACTAATGCATGAATTAAGTTAAATTAATAGAAATAAGATGATGGATCCTGCAACTATGATCAGCAGAAACACAGGCGGCTGCAGCAGCATAGATGTGTGTGTGTTATACAACAGAACATAATGTGCGTGTAGAGGCTGTCAGAGAAGATTCCTCTGCACTGCAAACAATAGGACCGGTTTCCTCAATCACTAACATGGTTTGCAGTGGCGAACCGTGTCTATCACAACTGGACCTTCTGTAGACACACCCCCCCGCCCCCCCCCCCCCCCTCCACGGCATTATAATGTCCGTCTTTTCACTGAATTGTCGTCTTGAAAAGGGTACTCACAACAATTCCACAACAACTTCATCTTCACCTGTTGCACTTGTCATTTCAACGTTAAAAACAATAAAACGGCATGAATTGCTTCGTCGCATTCATCTAGATCAGTAGTTCTCAACTGGTCAGGCCTCGGGACCCACTTTTTACTTTGTCAATAAATCGCGACCCAACATTTCGAACCACAATCTATTCAACAAAAAATCGTGCTGTAATATATCAGCAAACATTATGAATGAAAGATAAGTACAGTGCATATATCCCTTCACAGAACTAAAGTATGCTTTAAAAAAAGGTTTAATGAGATGATGGAATCAAAGCTGAACTGTGCAACATAAAAAGGCACACATGCTGAAAACCCAACCCCAGAAGGGGGGTCTGGGGGGATTCTCCTCCAGGAGATTTTTAGAAATACTTACATATAAACTACGCATTCTGGTACACAATAAATAAATCTATTACTACCCGACATATTAATAATATTTTATGCCATTGTTTGTTTTTCACTTTGTTCTGGCAGCTTGCTGCTCCTCACAGAGAGAGGAGCAAAGAGGAGATCTGGGGTGTTTCTCAATCACGAGGATGCTGGCTTGGTAGTCGCGTACTTCCAAGTCACTTCCTTCAGAAACGAAGCAAGTATGCTTCCAAGCCACGGCTTCGGAAAACGAAGAAAAATGGAACAGGCTAACAAGTGTGCCACTCTCTCTAACGGTTTCAACATAAACTGTACCGAAAATAAATACCTCACGATGTCTATCTAATTATGAACTTGCTTTACTTTCACGGAACACATTTTTGGTGATAACAAACAAATTAACAAAGTAACATATTTACCAACACATGTTCTACGCCACTACATACTTACATTTAAATGTGTGCTGCGTCGGTTCAGCCATTCTCCGCAAGGGTTTTTGAAATTGGTCCGTGTGCAAAGCATTGTGGGGATTTTAAGGACGCAAAGTCTACCCATGTGCAGCATCGAAATTTCCCCCAAACCAAGGACGCGGCCTCGGTGGAATTCCAAGCATGCTGGAGATTGGAACAGTCCTTCGGCGGCACTCGATGACGTAGCATCCTTGAAATATTGGCTTGGAAGCCAGAATCCTCGAGATTGAGAAACGGCCAGTGATCGCAAAAACCAAGCCAATACTATGCTGCGTTCATGGAGCTACGTGGAAGTGGGGAAGGACAATGCTTGATTGCGGATACGTAATTTCACATTCTAGCACAGTTTATTGCTCTTATACCTTGATTGTTGCCAACTACGATGCTCAACAGCTCGCTTATCGGAACGTTGACACTGGTATCAGTTTACCACCAATTACGGGAGTATTGTGTATAGAAAGTATTGAATTATATTTCTCGCGCTACCTAACATCCATGAAGGCAACATGACAGAGGGAGGCCTGCTACTCTTTGGTAAGCCCCGCCCCCTCTAGCATCATCAGGGCCAAAAGTCTGAAAGCGAAAAAAAAAAGATCTGAAAGTGAAAAAAGTTCTGAAGGTGAAAAGCAATGTGAAGTGAAATCTGAAAATAAATATTTTATTTAAAAAATTGCTGAACTGAATCAAAAATAATATTCAACCTGAAAAATTATTTCAAATACTTATTTTTATTTTGAATACATCATTGTATTTTTCAAAGTTCAGGATAAAAACTTGAACTTTCAAATAAATTGTATTTTTTTGAATGATCAAAACTTATGACCCTGAAATAGCTCCATACCTTCACAAATATGAGATTTTATTTGTACGGATTATCATTACTGCAGATCTGTGGACTCATTGCAACTGCATGTGATAACATCCAACCAAAACAATATTACTATGAAGGTGTGTGCACTGTTCATCCGCGATGATGATTGTTTAAATGGGATTTTGCGTATTGACACCATTCCTCCAAAAGAGTTAGATTTTCAAACAATGACTACCAGGTACTTTTTGTACCATCAACTACTGTACTTTTGCAACCTTACTGTATACATTACTTCAGGTAAAAGAGAGAAATAATCGAATGTTATGCAGTGAAAAATCAGGGCTCAGAGGCTGCAGCTTCAAAAGAGCTTCTGCAAGGGAAAATAAAATACAGAAACACACACCACACATTCAGAAAACAATAGACAGAAAAGGAATACCGCAAATCCCACAGAAGCCAATGTAAAACAACAGATGTTTCCAGGCCCCTCAGAAACGAACACGCCCTGACACACCTGGTATTTGTTGCCATGGTTTGTGGCTCATGAAGTTGCTGAGGGCAACAGCGTTTTAACTTTCTAACTGCATAACATTATTATATATCATGTCAGATATTTCCTGCAGGAGTGTTAATCTTGCGTCTTTTGGTGATTACTATCATTCAATAGTAACACATACTATCTGAATGAGGACATAGCCTATACATTAAAGCAAAACTTGCAATATAGCCTATTTCATTAAACTGGTTTGTAACTCATTAACATTGTGCTTGGTGCGACAGCTTCTCTATATTTTGATCGTTTTTTATGATGTGATATTGTTTTACAAGTCCTTCTTCCAGCTCTGATGCAAACATATTTTCAAACCCCCTAAATAAAGGCAAAGCCAATGTAAACTACCAAAGCTTTTCATACACTGTGATATCATGTTTATACAACTAGCCTTTAAACCTGAAACTGATCCAGTCTGCCCCAGTGTGTCGGCAGCAGCAACAGCTTTTTTTGTGTGTGCAATGAACGGTGGGTGGTACTGTGGGATTTTGACAGTTTTTTCTCCTAAAATGTCAAGTTGTATCGCCTTGGGTGTGGCACCCCCACCCAAGATCCTGTTCAAACCTGTTGCTCTTTAAGATGTTTCACAGTAAATCACATGTAACTTCAGTACACTCACAGGCATATTAGATGTAGCGTTTTATTTCCTGATACAACTCTTGGCATGTATCTATCAGACTTGTTGGATTGGTTTTGTTTTGTGAACTTTGCATGTATAATTAATTATATTTGTTTTACAGTAAGGGATTAGAAGTGTTTGGACCATGACATTTGCTGACATTTTATAATCATGAATGACCTTGTACTTTCTTTTGTGGAAAATAAACCCTGCAATTAGCGTGTCCCCGGTCTTAGACAGACTGGGACTTGTCAGGGAAATGTTTAAAATATCATGTAAGTTAGAGTTTCTCTAAGGCCTTTTAAAGTTCACTGTGTGTGTGCGTGTGTGGGTGTGTGTGTGTGTGTGTGTGTGTGTGTGTGTGTGTGTGTGTGTGTGTGTGTGTGTGTGTGTGTGTGTGTGTGTGTGTGTGCGCTCGTGTGTGTGTGTTTGTTCATGTGTGTATTTAACAAGATTAAAAATGTGTTCCAGACACAGGTCTTTCATTGTGTGCATAATATTTTTTTCATTTTCCTATCTTTTTGAAGCCTTGTTCGTCTTCATGGTTGGCAGATGAAGTATATCTCAAAAGTGCAATGACATAACGTACTAGGAAACGTACAAACCATAGTAACACAACAGTACACCATGTAAACTAATGTTTGAAGAAGGTTTATTGTCGAGCAAACAGACAGGACATGATGTGTCGCCAGGGGTAACGCACAGAAAATTGTATTTTGAGAAGATGGAAGACTTTGTTCACATATATTCATGTTACAGCAGGTACAGAATAAGGTCCATGCAGCAGTATACTCGAGGTGGCATCAGTGCTTTGAGTTACTCGGACCCCAAGAGCAACAGAAGAAAACAAATACAACAGTGCCACCTGCTGGTTAAACACATGACCACAGGCAGGTTACAGTCAATAATGATACCTGAACAAAGACTCATCCTTTAGCATCTTTACATGAAGTGTATAACAGTTGTGTTTACACCTCGTACAGAATAAACATTGTTTTGTGAAGGCACTTTGGTGTGAACAATTAGAGACCTGGATAATAAAGCAGCGTTGGTGTGCTTTTTATTCACCTCCAAGACCAATATCATCAATCATAAATCAGATAAAACAGGAACAAATTATCATTCCTCAGCCACAGCTTCAGCCTCCACCTGCTCCTCCTTTTCCTCCTGCTCCACCTCTGCCTCCTCGTTATTCTCCTCGACAGCTGGCGCCTCGATTGCTACCTCCTCTTGCTCCTCCTCTTGCTCCTCCACCTGCTCCTCCACCTGCTCCTCCTCCTGCTCCTCCACCTGCTCCTCCTCCTGCTCCTCCACCTGCTCCTCCACCTGCTTCTCCTCCTGCTTCTCCTCCTTCTTCTCCTCCTTCTTCTCCTCGGTCTTGATCCTCACTGTTTCTGTCTTGGTGACTGTGGTGCTCTTTACTGTTGCTCCTTCAAGGGCAGCAATAGAACCGATGCTTGCCTTGACTCCACTTCCACCGAAGGAGCAGCTGGCGTAGGACGGGGTTCGGGAGCTCTCCAGGCCGTAGGCATTGTAGTTCATTGCTGCACATGTAAAAAATAAAGACAGTCATTAACATTGAAATACAGTACTGGGAAAAAAGGTCCATTATGATCTGAATATCTTTTCGTATCAGCAAAGGCTTCGGTTACCATTAGTTCTTCTTCTTAGAGATTTCAAAAGCACATGTGGGCCTAAAAAGTCAATTGAAATGCATTTGATTTGAGTCTACTCCAATTAACTTGGGGTAAACAGCACATGCATTTATTGACACGATTTGTCAAAGTATTTAACACAAGTGCAGAAATAGAAGCAATATTTTAGGTGTAATGAAGTTATCTGTGATTGAAATGTGCAAAAATCTCAAAAGGGAAGAGTGCTGTCCAAAACATAACCTATGGTGGCATCATGAAGTCATGCCATTTTTAATTAATAGTTTAAACTTTACGAAAAATCAAAAGTTAAACAGTTAAACCAAGGTAGAACATGAACTTACAAGTCTGCTTGGTTATATTGGTCTTGATTCCAGTAGCTAACCTGTAGAGGAAACATAACAAGGCAGGAGCAAGCAGAACACAATGAGTCATCTCCACAATAATAATGATGTTAAAAAGATATTTCTCAGCAACTCCACAGGAGGGTGCTGTCACAGCAACACCTTACCTGTACTCCTCGCCTTCCAGCAGCTTCCTGTAGGTGGCGATCTCAATGTCCAGGGCCAGCTTCACGTTCATCAGTTCCTGGTACTGGCGCACTTGAAGGGCCATGTCCTGCTTGGCTCTCTTGAGCGCTTCCTCCAGGTCTCTGATGCGAAGTCTAGCGTCTTTTACTGCAATCTCACCACGCTCCTCAGCCTCTGCGATCTGAGATTCCAAATTGTTTCGCTAAGAGTAGAGAATGATAAGCAAAGAGTGATGTGAGATCCTGTTGTCTTTTTAAGGCCAGGTGCTACTACCACATTTGAATTACTGCTGAAGTTAGGAGGTTTTTTAATCAGTTAAAATCAAAGAATAATAGAAATGTACAAAACTAATTTCTCACCTGTGCTTTAACCATTTCAATTTCAGACTGGAGCCTCATTATCCTGCGGTTCATGTCAGCTATATCAGCCTTGGTGGTCTTCAGGTCTTCACCATAACTTCCTGCTGACTGCTGCATCTCTGTATACTAAACACACAGAAAAGTTGTATGGGAGAATGAAAAAGCAACGTGATTATCAAAGTGTAGCTGATGTTTGTTGTTAGCCACATGGTTTGACATGCTTTTATTTGACATAAATCACAGGGATCATACCTTAGACTGATACCATGACTCTGCCTCGGCTCTGCTACGGTTGGCGATGTCTTCATACTGAGCACGCACTTCAGCCACAATGGAGTCCATGTCCAGGTTACGGCTGTTGTCCATCTCCACTACAACAGATGTGTCCTTGATCTGGCCCTGCAGCTCACTGAGTTCCTGTGTGGATAATATATTAACTAATCATTTTGAAAATGCTCTTTGTATTTAAGATGTTACATCTATTATTTATTTGTGTGCCACTGGAAAGGGAAACAAGGTTCGTACTGCATCGTAGATCTGCCTCAGGAACTCAATCTCATCAGATAGCCCGTCCAGTTTGGCTTCCAGCTCCACTTTCATCATGAAGGCTGCGTCAGTGTCCTACACAGGAAAGTCAAATATAGAGATTGTTCATTGTTGCATGCTGCCCTGGCCCTGAGGTACAATGGCCATTGTGTGGCCATTTAGCTCGAAGGCTTGTTATGGTTTAATTATGACATAATATGGAAAATAAAAAAAGACAAAAAAGAAAAGACAGACCTTCTTTATGAGGACAAAGTTGTTTTCACACTCATTGCGCTTGTTGATCTCATCTTCATACCTTGAAAGGAAAGATTACTCCTTAAATGTATAGTGCAGTGGTCATGCAATCAACTGTTAAAATATATGTTTATTATAGTTTATTTAAGGAGTTCCACTGATGGTTGAAATATTATACTCCACTCACTTGTTTTTGAAGTCCTCAACCATGCTCGACATCTGATGCAGGTCAGACTCAAGCTTGACTTTCTCGTGACCCAAGTTGTCCAGCTGTCTGCGCAAGTTGGCGATGTAGGCTTCGAACATGGAGTCAACATTGGAGCAAGATGTGGTCTGTTCCTGCACAAGTTTCCATTTGGTCTCAAGCATTTTGTTCTGCTGTTCCAGGAAGCGAACCTGCAGGCAGAAAAGGTAAGTGAGTGATTGAATAGATAGAAAACAGGAAAAAACAGTTCGGTAGATATGGGTCACACGGAAAGGACTTTGAATGGATTGATTGTAAAAGGATGGGAAGATACTGCACTACTTGTTTACAAAACAAAAACTTTAATGTATGGGGAGGTTGGTCTATGACAAATATGCACTGAAAAAAGAGGCATGTATGCGTTACTCAAACAACATGAATGGCTTCACTTTGTTTCCTAATGGATAAAGAACTGCATGAAGATTGACAGCAAGAAAATTAGTAGCTTCTCCCACATCTAACACACTCTAAATGTCAAATCAATTACTCCCATAGCATATTGCTCACCCACAGTGCCACTTTTCAACACAAAGAGGCACTGTTTCCCAGTTCCCCCTTTGCAACTTCTCTATTGAGCGTCCTGACCCTGGGTGGGGTCCTGCTACCACTCTGCAAACACGATGTGACACGCAGCTATACCTGAGTGTGTACAATATCATGATGGTATGCAAGCTTTGTTTTACAATCTGAGGAATTAGTCTCAGGGTTATCTATTTCACTTCTGGCATATTTTGCAGTACCTCATTAAACATGAATGTTGCAATGTTCGATAACTAAAGAATCTGATTAATCTCAGGTGGAGGAGTCATGCTTCGGTTTCTGCACTCTATTTAACAGTGGGTGCTTAACAATGATTGATACTACTAACAATAAAAGTAAATTATTGCTTTTCATAAAGCCTCATAAAGTGGGTTTCGTTCAGATAACTGTTATTTGTCTACTCCACTCAGTATTTAACAAGCTTCCCATGCAAAGCTTGCCGAGCCCATGCCATGCCACACCTACTTTTGTACTGTAGGTTTTATGTACATGCTGTTATTATTCAGCAAGCTTTATTTGATGAATAAGATTTTGCAGCTTGGACTTTATCTCTTTTCAGGATATTGCTCACATTTGGATGCACCCCCTTCAAGAAAAATGTGTTCTTCTCTTCGTGCTCTGTATCCAGGTTGATCCTCTTATCTGAGCTCTATGATCTCACTCCAAGGCAAGGCAAGGCAAGGCAAGTTTATTTATATAGCACTTTTCAACACAAGGCAATTCAAAGTGCTTTACAAAAAATGAAAGACATGGGAGGGAGCCAAAGCATTACTCAAAACTGTGAAGTTTCCTTCACAGAACCACTCTACAAGGCTTTTAGATGACTGCATATTGCTATATATACACTTTTGTCTCAAGGATTATCTACATGGTGAATTTAGACCTCTTTCACCTTGAGCTATTCTGGCTTTCAATACAGTAATTTCCTCTAAGGTTCCTGAAGTTATATTTTCACTCTGTGAGGAATTGTATAGATGTATCCTAACAGGAACCAACAGTTTATCCTCAACAAAAAGTATTTTGTGGACCCACAGAAAGTTTTTTTCTTTTTACTATTTAACTAACATGTATGAATTTTGAAAATGTCCCTTTAAGTTGACTGACCTTGTCGATGAAGGAAGCAAAGCGGTTGTTGAGGGTCTTGATCTGCTCCTTCTCGTGGGTGCGGACCACCTGGATGTTGGGGTCAATCTCCAGGTTCAGGGGGGTCAGCAGGCTCTTGTTTACAGTCACCGCTGTGATGGGGGCCCCCATGTCATGGGCCATGCCACCTCCCATACCTCCACCATAGCCCACATAGCCAGACTCCACTCCACCTCCTCTTTGTCCAGAACCCCCGGCAATATACCCACCACCCATTTTATACCCCCCGCCACCTCCAGCAGCACCACAGCTGCCAACTCCCCCATAAGAGCTGCGGACATTGAGGCTCTGCCTGCCACTGCCTACACCCCCGTAGCCGGAGAAGGAGTGGCTGCTGAAGCCCTGGGATGGGCCCCTGGAGGAGGACACGGTGGAGTAGGTGGTGTTCTTCATAGCTCTGGTAGACATGATATCAGAGGGAGTTTGTAGAAATGAAGTGGTGTGAGAGGAGAAAAGAGCGAGGCAGATAGACCCTCCCTGGTCTCCGGTGCTATTTATCAGGGCAGGGGAGGGGCCCTGCAGAGATCTGATTGGATGCTGCCCGCAGCAGGGGAAGGATGAGAGAATGTCAGGGAAGAAAATCACATTGTGTTACACATTTACTGCTAGAGGGAGCACAATAATTACATAATAGTCCCTGTGCCAGTTTAAAGTGCTGCAGAAACAGTGGTACAACTTCTACTTCAAAAGGCATTTTCCAAACTTTAAATGTTACATTGCTTTTACATCATAATAACAAACATACAAAGCCTATTTTGCATCCATAAAATTAAACTTCAAACATATTGTACCTCTTGTATCATCTGCACTCTTTCACAAACACACACAGACACACAGACAAACCGACAAACACACACACACACTCATGCGAAACCAGATTATAAAGTCAAACCTTGGGTATAATGAACAGCGCATCATTTTATGACCTCGTCTTCTACTTTCAAACAGTCCTCATAGAGGTGACATATTGCAAAGAAAATTGTTGGTGTCCAGTGTGATGTGCTTCATGTGTTTGTATGCTGTGCCACTGTATGTCTCATAATTGTGGAAAAACCAAATGTACCCACTTAATGTGTTCCATTATCTATATGTTCTTCAGCAGGCATGTTGGAACACATCCTTGCATGAAACACAGATCATATAAGAAAAGGGATCAGTACAGCAAAAAAGTAAAGTTCACATAGACAGGTTGCACCTTCTTCAATGTCACAAGTAAAATCCTGTGTTTGAAGCGTGAAAAAATGCACAATTATGAAATAACCGAAGGCATTGAACACACACACACACACACACACACACACCCACAAACACACGCACGCACACAAATATTGATGAACATTCCTCCCATATAAACCAGGTAAAGAGCAAATAGATATTGTCTTTTTATTGTATTGGACCCCACCTAGTCTTAAACAGCTTTCCCAACCCATCAAAAACACAACATCAAAAACAAGGACTGCACATAGGTAGGTAGGTAGGTAGGTAGAAATAGGTAGCCAGCTACTTAGATATCAATTGTTGTTTTTTTGTTTCCATAGTGGCACACATTAAGGATCAAAACACATTTTCGGTAAGCCCTCATCCTTTTATGACAGTTTAATTTAAACCATGAACTATCATCATGTCATATTGTGGAAATCATGATTTTTTTGTCTTATGACTCAAGATCTTCCCTGACTGGTTTCTTGACTGTTGCCTAATCCTTACCAGAATAAACCCCTTGCTCCGTCAACGAAAATATTAAACACACCCCTCCTCTTTTGTTTTATAAAGATAAACTTAAGATTTATATCAGCTATGAATAAGCTAAGAGGGCACATGTTGTGGAAAGAACATATTAACAACCTAAAAGGGACTTTAAGACATTTTAAAAATCATATTTTGCTTGGCTTGTCTGAAACACTGACGTGATCCTTCACAATGAAGCTGCTGTGCTAAACTTGGAGGCAACCATATATGTACAAGTCTACCAGTTTTTGTTGTTTCAATAACTCAGGATCTTACACCAACCCATGAACAGAGCTGTTTTCGCCTCAAGTTTGATGACTTAAACATAAAGACATACAGATAAGAGAATGTCTATTTTTTTCTGCATGCAGATAGTAAGAACGTAATTTACAAGTCCTGACCTCAAGTCCCTTAAGAGGCCAGTGATGTTTTGATTTGTAAGAAGCTGCTGTGACACATCAAGTCAGGAATGTGCTGAGAGAAACACTTGCATGCTACAAGAGAGAAGGGGGTGAGGGAAGAGATGAGCAAGTGGGGGGTTATGAACAAACCTATTTCACAATGAATGACAGATTTACTGAGACGTTCAGTGGGAATTGGCCTGTATCCAAGATGGTTATTTTAAGCAGGCTAAAGGCTTTAGCTAATGTGGTGGCATTGCTTCAACATGCATCTTTATATCATGTAATATATGATAAACTTAATGCATGCAGTGCTTTATAAACAACAAGAGACATAGAGAATGTAACTTCCTGTAGTGTGTTTTATAGGCTTTGTGCATGTAAAAGTTCTGCAAAGGCTAAAATCCCAAAGTTTACACCAGAGGGAGTTTTTCTCCCACACACTCCCCCCTGCCTGAAACGCCTCGAATGTAGTCCTTTGTTTACTTCTGTAACATAGTGATTTCACACTCGCTGTTCTATTGGCTAGCGCTCCAACATATTATACGAGATAGGCTAAGGGGCAGGACATCTCTAAGCACTTGACCAATGACAACAGAGTAGGCCAGCTAATCAATCAGAGCAGACTGGGCTCTGGTTTCGGAAAGAGGGTGGAAAAAGGTGCTGCACAGGCAGGAGGAGAAAAACAAAGCATATTTTAACATTAAAGCATGTAAACATGGCACAGAAGAGGCACAACATACAAATATGAACCTGGAAATAAGCATAGTAGGGCCCCTTTAATTGAAAAGTTGTAGAAATAGAGATTGGAAATGCAGAAAACTAATAAAAGGAGGATAAACATACTGCCTGTCTTTATGTTGTGGTCTTAAAGTTGGACTTTGCAGTGGTCTGAAGGACCCTGCCCAGCCTTCGATTGATCAGTAGAATCAGTTAAAACTAACATCCTGCCTTGCTCTGTAATGCCTGTTCAAACAAGGAGCCTCCTACACATACATGAAAAAACACTACGCAAATGCATGGTGCATCGTTTTAAACAATGGGAGCACACATGTACTCAAAGAAACAAGCCAGACAGAAAAGTACAGAACATGCAGTTTCTTAGACCTCATCACCCTTCTCATATTACAGTGGCTGCGTTCCCTTTGAGACTCATGCCCCCTAGCGACTGTAGGATGAAAGTGTTTTCAGCCAAATAAATTTCACAGGAGTGGCATGATGTGGTCACATGTTGTCATCACTGTATCTCATTGACTATGATCTTATCTGCTGCATGAAACTTGATCCAGTCTATAGGAAGTTGCTTTGTCACCCACACTAGGGGTATGACTCTCCACTTTGGGCTGGCCAGGAAATGAGTTACGAGCATAGTCCCGTGGATGACTACCATTTACTGATTGTGTTGACCGATCATTGTTTCTTGTAGGGACTCCGTGAGATTGACATTTGTGATGAGTGTCATATTTGGACAACTATTAGATGGATTTCTGTAAGTTTGTTACAGTTATTTAAAAAAAAAAAATGAAAAATGTTTTCTTTGGAATTTAATTCAATATTTTTGCACTTAAGATATGACATTCTGTATGGATCAGACATAGGCTTCATGGAAGATTCAGTCTAATGGGTCATTTATACCCAGTTATTGTTGGGGGGACCAACATGTGATGAAAAGTGAAATATATTCATTTGTAGATACTTCATTATTAATTATATGCCAATAATACATCAATGTAATGCTTTGTAGTCACACAAATTATATTGAATAACAATTAGAAAATACAAAATTTGCTCGATTTTAGAAAACTACCTGAATCAGAAACTGCCCACTTCTGGTTTTTTAATCTAATGACATTTCATAGACATATAGGACAATGACGTCTGTGTACATATTTACTCCTTAGCATCAGCCTGTTAGCTTTGTCATTCCGAGCATGTTAGCATGCCGATGTTACCTCAAAGTAATAAAGTAAATAATTTAACAAACAGTTTTACTTCCTTAGATTAAACTTCTACGGACTGTAATTTGTGCCCATGTGAGAAATGTAGTCAGCTATAGGTGACTTTCCAATGTAGTATTTCTTACTCACTGCACCTTTTAGGCCTTCCTGTGAAATGTCTTTGCGCTAGAAATGGACATGGCATACTATGGAGAAAATGTCTCTTAGTCGACACATTTCACTAATCTCTGATGTGTGACCCCTACACTTTGATGACAATCCTGGCCATAAAACTGCAATAAAGTTATACATTAACAAGATAAACAAACTGCCTATTTGATGCCTATTAAACATGTTGGTGCCAGTCAAGTGAGCGATCAAGATAAAAAGGGGATGATGTAAGAAAGTCTCCGTGCAAGAGTGTGGCACACTCACATGCATGCATCCCTTCCTGCAGCTGTAAGGGTGTCCACAATCATATGCATAAATATGCATATGCATATATGCAAATTTATGTTTTTGACTTTGTATATAAGCATGTTAGAGCTCACATGTTGCACTGCAGTTGTGCCAAAGGAGACCAAAGAAAAAGGGAGGGGAGTAAAGTTAATTTGCGGCTGCTCTAAACTGAGTCGAAATCTGAGAAGTATTGTGAAGCCCATAAACTGAAGTTGTAGTTTCCAGGTTCCTGCTGTGTTACAATGACTCATAGACTCCAACTCTTTTCCGCTGCTCTTTTCCCAACTTATCGGGGAAAGAAGGGTGCAATCCATATCAGATTCTTGCATGTGGAAAATCTATTCTAAGGAATAATTACTCATAAACAAAAAATGATATAAAGAGTTATGTGAAGACTTGGTGTGCACAAGTATTGATCTACTGATATATTGTTTATATATTTTCCAACATGCCTGTTGCATGAATCACAAAGAACTATATTCTTATGTCCTAGCTATGAGGCAGAGCAAACAGCTAAGTCGAAAAAATGTCACTCTCAATCTTCTGGGTGGAGTTTTCTCAGTGAAGATTAGCCCGGTTGTTCTGCTTCCTGGGGATGGCTACTGTAAGCTATTCTGTTGACTTGCCTGTTAGCTCTCCGGAGAAGCACAGATGCTGTGTATGTCAATGACTTTCATTGTGAGGGAGAGAAATGAATGTAATTATGAAGCAGGGCTAACAGTGAAACGCCAGTGGTGTCATTCTAAAGTAATTAAATTGTGCATTCCCATTTACTTCATAATGATGAGATGAAGTATGTGCAGGGAAATGTGCCACACGTATCCAATATACTAGCTAAGTTCATTAAAACTGTCGGTCAAGGTACATCCCTGTTTCTAATTTCTTTTTTTCTGTCCTGGTGGGCAAGGCAACTTCGTTGCCAACACAGATTCAAAC